CAGGAATCAAAACCCTAAACCGAAAAATCTGCGGCTTCAACATCACCAAGAGCTTTATCAATTGACATTCTAGCTACATTGTCATATATTCTTTCACATCTTTCTCCATCTTTAGCATGAAGACTATCATCATGGCCAACTACTCCTCCATCGCTAGCATAAAACCGAAACCCAAATACAAGGCTTCAACATTAGCAAAACCCTTGATTTCAAAACGATTTTATCAATGTACATTCTACCATCAATGGCATATTATTTTCCACTCTTCTCCAAAGCTTCAGTCACGAATACTCTTGAGCATAAAGCATAGCATTATGGTCAATATCTCTTCAATTCCAAGCCAATGAAAGATCAGTTTGGCAACAACCAACGAACATGAATCAAGGATTCTCTAAATTATAAACTAAACAACAAGTTAAACCACCTAAATTACAATATCTGCACTCATTAAACTCAGAAAAAGAGAACCCATGAATGATAATATATATAAAGGATCTAATATCTGCAGAATCAAAAGATGGCGAGGAAAGGTGTTACCTTTTCCAACGTAAAGGACCCAAACGAAGACGATGGCGGAGATTAAGCAGAGGAGCAACATGCCCACCTTCTTGCGACCTGCGAATTTGCAGATCCAATGGACAATACCTTCTCTGTCTTTCTGCATCTTAGATTGTTTGATTCGTGTCGTCGTCGTTGTCGTCTGGAGGGGCAAAACGATGCCGTTCTGTGTCGTCTTCTCCAAGGAACCATAGCTACTGGATCGAACACCCAATCCAGTCATTGCTCCTCTTTCCCCCCCTGTTTTCACTCCATGAAATCTCCAAAATCCCAAGCACCGACCTCGAAATTGGAGTTTTTACTCAGTTCAGATCACGATTTTAGCTAATACCCAATTGGTGAATGGGATTATTCCGACGAAATTCGACTTCAAGTTTGCGACTTTGATCCTGGGTTCAATTCAAATCTGATCTGCAGAACCAGCGGAAGCAAAAGAAAAACAAAACGAATCAAAAGAATTTTGCCCCTTTGCCCCGAAATATAAAAAGAACGAATGAAAAAAAAATAGGCAAAATTGGTTCGCGAGAATTCGCCCGAAGAGCCTCACAGATCAAGAGATTTGTATGACGAAAAGGAATATAGAATCAAAAAAGGAAGATAAAATCTAGGGTTTGTGATTGGTAGAAAGGGTTTTAAGCAGGAATCTAGAATTTGCAAAATCGAGGGACAATTTCATATATATATTTATATAATTAGGGCAGAAAGAGAGTATTTTTACCGAACATAAACACTGTTCGAAGTTTTACAAATTCGGTGCAAGAAAAAAAAAACAAATCTCACAAAATTCCGCGTGAACTCAAGAAATCAATTACTTGTCTTTTAGTGGAATTATAATTAGAGGGAAAATAAAAATAAAAATAAAAATTCAAGGAAAAACCATATTGGACGATATGCATCTGATGGTCCAACAAAATCGGATGGTGATAGGTTCTATGAAAATAAAATTATTTAATAATATAAATTATTGTTTTCAGTTGAATTAAATCAGTATTTTCTTTATTTTAAAAAGTTAATTACTTGAAATCCATAAGGGTAATTCCTAGGAACAGAAGATTAACGGTGTAACTAATTAATACTAAACATAATACAAGAAAAAAAAATACTTTTGTTAATTTTCCAAAACACTCATTATGTAAAGCATCCTTATTTTCTGTTAAAAATAATTATCTTATTTAATCAATACCCTAAACAACAATAATTAATTCCTGCCATCATTAATCTCGTTTGCCGCGCTAAAAAAAGGATTTTATTTTAATTTATGAGAGGGAAAAATCTATCATAGTCTCTTTGTAAATAATAATTATTTCTAATATGTTTAAATTTTATTTTATTTTATATTTTAAATATCCATATCATTTAACCAGAATTTATTTGACACACACACAAACATATATATATATATATATATATGTAGTTACTCCAAATTTTGAATTATTATCATTCCAAATTATATTCTCTTCTGATATGTATGAAAATTAAGTTCTCATATTCTTTTTAGAACTTAAATATTTTTTTGTCAAATTGGGAAAAATAATTAAAAAAAGTAATTTTTTTAACCTTTTATCAAATAACACTTTTCGTCTTTCATTAAAACACAAATAAACGAGCTAAAGTGATCAGCCGTTGATTAGCTTAGCAGTTAATGATTAGGACTCTTTCACAGCCAACAGGAAAAAAAAGGATTTATTTATTTATTTTATTTTTGGTAATGAAAGGAAATAAGACAAATCTTTAGATCAAAGGAAATATGATTTCGAATAGATGTAAATTAAAACCTAAATTGAAACCGTCAAATCTTCGAAAAAAAAAATATATTTTGAAATATTTGAGATAAAAAAAAACTTGCACAATAAATCATTGTAATTATATGTGCTTAGCATCATGGAAATCATGAGTTTAAACTATGGGCAGTTTTTATTTTATATAATCATAAAATTTATAATTTATAGTTTCAGTTTTTTTTTCTAATTTCTAGAATTATACAACAAGTAAAAAATCGTTGCAATAAATGCATTTGGTAATTCAAGAAATTAAGTTGTATTTAAACCGATTTAATGGTTAGGGAAAAAGAAACAACCGCATGTGCTGTTTTAGTTGTCCAATTTACTACTACATAGTACGTACGTACGTCCGGTGTCCTAGTCCCATATTTTTTTTTTTATAATCACGATGGTTCTCCGAGCTTTCGATTCAACTAAATCTATCCTAGATCCAGGACTAGCCTTTGTATATGGACTATTTTGGTCCAGAAATTACATCCATCTCCACCAGTAGAATCGAACCCAGGAACTTGAGAATGACTTTATCACTTCTCAACCACTGTAGCTACCAACTGTTGAGTTCCTAGTCTCATATTTATATTTTGTACAGTGGATTATATATATAATTTATCGACAACATATAAAAAAATAAGATTCGTTATCAACTTATTTTTTCTATTATAAAGTTAACATCCGTTTAGTGGGTATAGTTACACATCAAATGCACGAGTTTTCGGTTTAGTCCATTTCAGTTTTATAGATTATTTTTTCGATTGGATCACCCAATCTCGTATTGCGATGGTTAGACATTCAAACTCGTATGTCCTCGGCCAATTCTTCCTTCATCTCCCCGCCGACCCCATTTCTCCTTATTCCACCTCTTCCTCTTCTGTACCTGTCGTCCCAGATTCACTACCCATACCTATCTCTAAGGTTAAAGTCCCTCCCCTCTCTCACCACTAAATAATGTCAATCTTCTTTTGGAATGTGAGGGTTTCAACGCCCCCACAAAACACCAAACTCTAAAATCTCTTCTACATCAGAATAATCTTTCTTTTTGTACTCTGCTTGAGACTCATATTCAAAACCATAACCAAATTCAGATTTTATCCAACCTTGGATCCGACTTGTCTACCTTTGTTAACTGCTCTAGTGATTCTTGCAGTCGTATATGGTTATTATGGAAAGCCACAGCTATTGTCCGCATTCTTGAGGAAGATCAATGTGTTGATGTTCTCCTAAACTTGCTTGACTCCCCCGAAATCTTATGCTCAATTGTCTATACCCGTAATGACAGGGTTTCTCGCCAATCATTATGGACAAGTCTGGAGAATACTCACCGAGTGAAAGTGATGGCCAATACCCCTTGGATTATCTTTGGCGACTTTAATGAAATCAGGAAGCCAAGTGAGCAATCTCTTTGGGATTTTTCAGAACTTCTCCGAGTATGGATCGATTTAATGATTGTTTGAGCCCCATTGATGTTGATGATCTAGCATTCCAAGGTCCTCTATTCACTTGGACAAATCGCCAACCTAATCATCCCATAGCCAAAAAACTGGATAGAATGTTGGGGAATTAAGCTTTCATCTCACAATTCCTGGACAACCACACATCGTTCCTTAGCCCGGGAGTTTCTGACCATTGTCCTGGTCTCATCAGACTACAAACCGCACGTTTCCCAAACCCCAAGCCTTTCAAATTTTTTAACCACCTTACGAAATCCCCAAGACTTCTAGAGGTGGTGGTAGAAGTATGGGATTTGGTTGATAGACGTGGGTCCACTCTCGGTCTCCTATCAGGGAAGCTTAAAGCTCTCAAACGTCCCCTCAAATCGCTTAAAAAGAACTATATAGCGATATTGAAAAGCGAGTGGTTTTTGCTAATGATAGTTTGCTTTCTGTGCAGGTTGAAGCTCTCTCTAACCCGTGCCCCAATCCTTTGAAAGGGAATGGGTTTGTCTAGATAAATTTCTCCACCTCAAGATGATTGAGGAGGCTTTTTTTAGGCAGTGTTCGCGTATCCAATGGTTGAAAGAGGGTGACAAATGCACATCTTATTTCCACTGTACAATGTTTTGCCGAAGAGCTAGTAACTCCATCAAGTACATCATCGATCTGAACGGGAACAAAGTTGAGGCACCTGATGGGATTATTCAGCTAGCAATTGAGCATTTTAAAGATATCTTAGTCCTAACCCAACCAGTGCTAGATGGATCACGTCTGGACAAACTTCGAGATATCCTATCTTACCGTGTGCCCGCTGATCTTCATAGTCTGATTGCGCAACCAATTGCAGAGGAGCTAATCAGAGACACTCTATTCAGTCTGAAGGGGAATAAAACGTCAAGACTAGATGGCTTTACTGCTGAGTTCTCCCGCCACTCTTGGGGAATTCTTGGGGCTGAGTGTACTGAAACAATTATGCACTTCTCCGCTCAGGCTTTCTAGCCAGGAGAATTAACTCAACCCCTCTAATGCTAGTGCCAAAAAAACCTGAAGCATATTCGTTTGGGGATTACAGACCCATATCTTGATGCAACTCCTTATACAAGGTAATCTCTAAAATCTTTGTGACAAAAATGAAGCCCATCTTGCCTGATTTTATTGTCCGGAATCAATCGACATTCGTTCACGGTAGAATTATGGTGGAGAAGAGTTTACTTGCAACTAAAATAGTTCACGGTTACGGTTTTTCCCGCTCTCCACGTGCAGCAACGATCAAGATTGATATATCCAAAGCTTTTGATTCTATCAGATGGGACTTTATCCTAGCAACTCTGATGACTATTAATCTGATGAATTCTATGATTGATCTCATTGGAGAATGCATTACCATGACCTCTTTCTCCGTGTGCATTAATGGAGGTCTTTCTGGCTACTTCAAAGGGACACGAGGACTTAGACAAGGCGATCCCCTCTCCCCTATCTATTCGTGATTGGTATGCATGTCCTCTCCAATATGTTGAATTCAGCGGCTGAGGCGGGTAGATTTGGTTATCACCACGGTTGTGAGGAGCTCAAGATCACGCATCTTGCTTTTGTCGATGACTTGTTGATATTTTGCGATGGTTCCTCTGAGTCTATTGTTGCGGTGCTTAATATTCTCAGGGAGTTCAAAGCACTCTATGGACTGTCAATCAACCTCCATAAGAGTAATCTTTTCACCTCGGGTATCTCCTCTGATGTTGTTGTTGCTCTTGCAAGTCAGGTTAATCTCCCTATAGGTACCTTTCCGGTGAAATACTTGGGTCTTCCGTTGAAACCGACGAAACTGAGTTCTGTTGATTGTAGGCCTTTGCTTGACAAGATTAAAGCCAAAATATCCCACTGGTCCTCCAAATATCTCTCCTTTGCAGGGTGACTACAACTTTTGTCCTCTGTCATCTTCGGAATCATTAATTTTTGGATGCATGCTTTCATTTTACCGAAAGGCTGGTACAAAGCAGTTGAACTCACTTTGCTCGGCGTTCCTATGGAAGGAAAATCCGGATATTCACACGGGGGCTAAAGTTGCTTGGACTAATGTCACCAAACCAAAGTATGAGGGTGGATTAGGACTTAAGGATTTATTCTCCTGGAATAACACGGTTGGGGTGAAATTTTTATGGTTGATTCTCTCTCACTCGGGGTCTCTTTGGGTTGTATGGGTCTTTCGACACTATATTGGAGCTCGATATATATGGTCCATCAAACCTCTGGTCACACACTCTTGGTCATTCCGTCGTCTGTTGAAGCTCAGGAAGCTAGCTCAAAAATTCTCCTGACAGCTTCTTGGTAAGGGAGACGATATCTTCTTCTGGTTGGATCACTACCCTTTGGGTAGGCTGATTGAATTTTTAGGGGAAAATGGGCTAGCGGATTTGGGAATCCCTAAATTCAGCCGTGTCTCGATAGTTTACCGTAATAACAAATGGAAAATCCTGAACCCAATGTCAGAGGCCCAAGCTACTCTAATTGCCTATTTACTAGACACTTGCCCTTCCCCTAACAGAGAGGACATATTCCAATGGGTGGTAGTAACTCTCCAGCATCAAAATTCTGTTTTAAGGCTGTCTGGAAGCAGATTCGAGAAGCTGTTGACCGAGTTCCATGGTTCTCTGTGGTCTGGTTCAAAGGTCATATCCCGAAACATGCTTTCACGGTGTGGGCGTTTGTGCTAAACAGGAACCTTAACAGAGATCGTCTTCAGTCTTGGAGAATTCAGGTATACCCGAACTGTCCTTTGTGGGATGAAGTGGTCGAATCACGGAATCACCTACTATTTGAGTGTAGGTACACTAGATCTCTTTGGCAGCGAACTTGTAAACGTCTTAAACTTGACCAAGCCCCACTTCAGTAGGATGGAATAATGCGTTGGTTGAACTCTAGGTGGGATACTAGACTCTCTAGAACAATTGTTTTACTCACTTGGTAGGCAGTCACATACACCATATGGACGAAATGCAATTCTAGAATTCATGCTTCTATCTTCTTGGATGTTGAAACCCTCTTCCATACTTTTGACAAGACTCTACGACGGATAGCAGCATCTTTCCGGCAATCCAAACCGGACTTGAATTCTGAGATATTACAGCGATAGTTTGGTAATCATTGTATTGGTTTTGGTTTTGGATTACTATTACATCTTTTATCTACTTCGTAGAAGTTTACTTACTTTTAGATCAAGGCTTACCGACCCCAAGAGCTTTCTCGGTTGTTCTGGCTTTTCACCTCTTTTGGATAGGATGAAAAGTGTTTTGTACAGGATCCGATAGTAATGAATATATCAACCTTTGACAAAAAAAAAGCTCGTATGTCAACCGAATGCAAATGTTCGAGTATTTTTTAATAGAAGTGTCAATTTTGATCTGAAACATGGTCCGAACCCGTCCGAAAAATGATTGGGTTCGAGCTTGAATTTATAGACAAAAAAATCGAGCTTCCAAGCCGAACTCAAATCGGACTTCGGATTTGGTCAAGTTAAATTCGACGAGTTTAAAAATGAAATATCCATCGACCCAACCCGAGTCCAAGCTTTATAGGATCGCGTTTTGGACTCAATTTTATAGACCCAGAAAAATTCGATCAGACCAAGTCTGAATACGAAACCCTCGGGTTGAGTGCGGATTCGGATCAGGTAAGACAATTTGACACCTTTAATCTTTAGAATATCCAGTCGGCCAAACGATAGGACAACAATTGGATTTAGAGTGACCATTTTCAGTTTCAGCTCGGTTATATTCAAATTCAGTTATTTCGATTGTAGAGAAATTATAACCATTCGATTTTTATATTACATTTGGTTATATTCGGTTCGGTTTTATTTCGGTTCAAATTTGTCTTTTATTGTTAAAAAACTCATTTTTAAATAAATTTTTCGGTTTTTTATATTTTTACTCGGTTCGAATTCAGTTTTTTATAACCATTCGATTTTTATATCATATTCAATTAAGTTATAATTATATCTTATTCGGTTTAAATTGATTCATCTATTCGATTATTCCAAACTGATCAAAGGGAAAGAAGTAGTGAAGAAACTCTTAATCTGTTATATTAAAAAAAAATCCAAAAAAAAATTACTCAACTCTTCAATTTTGTAAAAATAAAAACTAAACTTTATTTTTTATCAAATAAACATTTAACTTTTTAAACGAATCTAAAAAAACACTAAACTTTTTAAATGATCCAAAAAATACATGAACTTTTCTGCGATTATAAAAAAATACTGAACCTTTTTAGTGATTCAAAAAAATACATGAACGTTTTTCGATTGTAAAAAAAACTAAGTAAAATAATCTGATGTGTTTGAATCTCCTTGTACCCCGTCAGCTATTTTGTTTATTTTGATAATCGTAAAAGAGTTAAGTATTTATTTTGTCAAACTTACAAAGTTTAATATTTATTTGATAAAATAAAAAGTTCGGTGTTTTTTGGTCAAAATTTGTAAGTTCGGTGTTTTTTTTGGGATTTTCCCTTAAAAAAAATGTACAATTTCATGAGTTTAATTAAATAGAATTTATATATAACGAATATACACATAGAAATTCCTTAGAGAATAGAACAATTTGTGTAATAAAATTACTCTTACCAATTTGCGGTTATTTCTCTGATTGCTTTTTAATACTTGAAAATTTTCATAGCTAAATATCATCAATAACATCTTACATTATAAAAAAAAAAAAGTTCATGACATATTGAATTCATCGTTTATTTTGGATGAACATGTCAATATTTCACATTTTTAATATAGTTTCATCTTATCCTTCAATAATAAAACGATATAATAAAAAGTAATTTTGTTATGATATATTGAATATTTTAAAATAAAAGATTAAAATATATATAAATCCAGATTCTAAACTGTAAAATTAGATTTTAAAAGTTTAAAATCCATTTTCCTTCAAAGATAATGATATATATTTTTTTATCCTATTTTTTTTCGTCAAAGCACTGAAAGGTTAGGTCTTAACTAATGGATGCGACATTAAATTAAACAATTCAAAATCACAGATTCTGGTTTCGTGAATCCTCCTTGAGATCTCTGAAGATGGAGAAGAAGCAATCTCGCAGATCGGAGATCTCCTCTACACAAGCTGTTCTTCTCGGAGCTCTTGCCCCTGGCGTCAATGTCCGTACACTCCCCGCGTTTTCTCCTCTGTCTTCTTCCTGTATTCGCTTTCGATTCTGTTTCCATGGTTGATTCTTCTAAAACCCTGATTTTGGAATTGGGTCGGAATCTACAGGCTCCGACGTGGAACACTCTGAAATCGGCTTTCCTTTTGCTGGGTCTCGCTCTCACTTTCATGCTCGCTTTAGCTTTCACCTCCAGTGAATTCACGCTGCTTCTTCATGTCGGCTTTCTCATGATAATCGCCACTACCCTCTTCGTCCTTCTCAACTGGTATGTTAAAATTTTATATTTTTCCGATGGTTCTATGTAAAACACGACGTGGGTCTGTGTTCTTGTCTCAGATTTTGATATGCCCGGATGAAACATCGCGTTGATTCTTGCCCTGCCAGAGTCTGTCGAATGTAGGATAATCACGAGGGTTTAGTTTGGTACTTGGTCACTTTAAAAGCTTCTTTGGCGTTGGAATCATATCCTGTTGATGATAGATAGAAACTCTTGGGGTTTGATGAACTCCAGCTATGACTTTACAATGAAGCATATGTTCCTGTAATAATTTGTGTGGTTGGGATGTTTAGTTTTACTGGCTCGTAACACTTGTTGATCTGTGTAATAACAGAAGTTCTTGGGTGATGTTTAGATGTTCGGGTTATGCATTATTTCCACGATGATATTTCATGTGCCAAGTTGCATCGAAAAGCAGTTAGTGTTCCTGTTTGATGGCTCCAACAAAAACATGCTTTTGTCTTGCAGTTCTTCAATTAGAGTTTAGGTTCAGCGTTTTAGTTCATCTATCAGATTTTGTCTTGTCCTTTGTGTTTCTCGTGCTTGCTCTGTGAAACCGGAAAGGCAAGTGATATTGGTTTCTACAAGACTGGAAATCAGTTTTGGTCTTTATGCTCCGTCCTTCTCCAGAGGAGAACCTGACCTTGTTCGTCCTTACCATGAGCTGTTTTTTGTAGTTTTTTTCTCTAAGATGCTATGTTTATCGGTCATGCCATCGAGAAAAATAAGAAGAGTGATGAATGATATATGTGAAATCTACAACTTTTTCAGAATGTCTTTAAGGGCCATAAAATAAAAGTCACAAGCCACTTACCGAGTGCTTGATTCTGCAGGTTTCTTGCAGAGACAGGCCTTGTTCCAGTGGAAACACAGATGCAGCAGATGAACTTGGAACCGAATGACCGAAGTAGATGAGCATACATTATAAAAATCGCCGGTATTTCTTATTATTCAGTACAACAAGTTACGGAAATGGGACGAAAGAAGAGATAAACTAAGATGGAGGATTGGTACTACAGATGATCCATCTTCTCTCGGACAGGACTTGCAGCCGCTGACCATTTACTCTTTCTTTAATCGCTCTTCGCCTCTTTCTCCTTGTGTTTGCCCTTCTTTGGCTTGACGAAACAGAAGCAAGAACAACAAGGGAGCTGAAACAAGAACTTCATCTTGGTTCACAGCCCTCAAAAATAATTTGCAATGGACCAGAGATGGCAGCTGTCTGTTTTATATAGAACTTCGATATTTATATTTTAGTCTCCTTTTCTTGACCTTTATTCTTTCCTGCTTCTTGGATGCTATTCCAAGTGAGATTATTCCTTCCAGGCAAGAAGATGCCCCAAGTCACTTATTCTGCAGCATATATCATTCACAGGACAGTGGTTGTTCTTATTTAATCTTCAATGGATTGTCTGAAACTTGTCATAGGGTTTCATTCATGGAGAGCTTTTGCACCTTTAGATATTATATTGGTAAACAGATTTGTAATGCAACTTCATATTCCTCTATCTTTTCCTTTTTCTTGTTTGCCCTCTCTTTTCTTTGTTATTGAATAAGAATAGAGTATCCAAAATCAAGTATTGGTAATGTTTCTGGAAAAAAAAAATGACATATTGCATATGAAGCAAGCAGCCAAACTAAACACATTCTCCAGGGTGTCCAACAGGAGAGTGTTTACATCTTCATCCTCAGAAAAGCTGCACTTTGAGTTATGTTACTTGACAGTTTCTGTAATCTCATGTAAGAAGCCGGTTTTCCTGTCTGGTTTTGGGCGGTTTAGTTGTTCATGTAAGCGGGAGAATGACCTCTTAACCTCTGATTATGCTCTGTCAGCCATTCTTTGTCTTTCAAATACTGAAGAAACGGCCTCGGGTCGTCGCTGAGCTCGCCGGGAATTATCCCGAAGCCAAATCCCTCCGTTCTTTGGTAACCTTGGATCAGCCTCTCTCCTCTAGACTCGTAATCGGGTTGCATGTGGAACTGATTATCCAATCCGGGGTACGACAGCGAGTTCTCTGACCGAACCATCGGGTGATCACTTGGTGTTCCGTACCTGTCAAAGAGACTGAACTTGGTGGACTCGTGCACGAGAAAGTTCCTCAAGTCATTATGGTAATTTCCCTGTCCAAGATTCTGGCTCTGTCTGTACCGACGAAGCCATTCAGACGAGGAAATTCCAACAAACGGTGGGTTCGTGTATGGTTTCATGAAACCCGGGAGAGGCAGTCCATAACCGAGCAGACCAGGTTCTCTATTTCCATTCGGTATGTAAGCATTCTCTCCCTTGTTGATGGTGCTTTCTTGAAACCAGGAAGCATCTTCTGGAAGTAATGGAGCAGAAGGAGTGGGAGGTGAATAGGAAGAAGAGCTGCTAGTGAAAGAATGCTGCTCGGTTTTGCTGATAGAGAGATCATCAAAGGATGTAACAGGAGCTGTTTCATCAATGGGGCTCAACCCATTGTGTTTACCAGTGCCGAATCTTCCGTTTTCCTTTTCGCTGTCCACTACCCAAGCACTCAGGGACGGGGGTCTTCCCGAGATACCGCCTTCTGGAAAGGAAGGTGATGACTCTGTCTCTGTAGAATCTTCGCCGAAGCTGAAATCTGATGCTGTTCGTCGCAGGTTATCATCAGATGTACTTGTTTGGTTCCCTTCAAGATCCTCTCTTGTGTTTCCCGAAGAAGAATAGAGCGGAGCAGATTGACACCTCGCGAGAGGTTTGAGTAGAATGACTTCCTCCTCTTCTGCAGGAACGACAACTTCGGTTCTTGTAGTAACATATTTTTCATTATCTCCGTCTTTCTCAGCAACAGATTCTCCATTTGACGCTTTTCGATCTGTGTTTAGATTTGAAGCCATGAAGAAACAAGCCTCCTGTTCGTCCCAGGAGATCCACTTCCGAGAACCCGTCTGCCTACTTGCAATCTCGAAACCAGATTTCTTGATCCGATGAAGACGGAGCTTGTTCCCTCTGTCAAAACCCTCTCTTAGGTCCCGATGACTCGAGAAATCCAAACGTGCATGTACACTAGCCAGAGGAGCAAAGGCCCTCAACTCATGATCCTCCCAAAGAGCTACCAATTCAGGAGATGGGTACTCTCCCTGCTTCTTTAGCTGATTCAAGAGATCAACAAGAGAGCCGAAGAAGTAGGACATTGCGGCCTCGCTCTCGTCATCAAACCCGCATTCCTCCGCTTTGTCAAGCACAGGTGGTAAGTACTCCAAAAATTCGAGAATAGCCGGTAAAAGTGGGCAAGATTCAAAGGGATATCTCCTCAAACACCGTTCGATGATTCGCCCCATAATAACGAATGTAGTGATCAACCCTAGCCGTGTAAGCCGTGCGACCTCATCCTTCTTGTCATGTGATCCATCCGTCTCGTGCTCGGGGGTTAAGTTGTGGAAGACGAAGACGAAAACCGAAACAAGTTGAAGGAACCTGAAAGGGCCTTCTCTTGCTGAATCCATAAGAAGATAGGATTCTGACATGCCCTTTAGATCCTCATCATCTGCTCCAAGCAATGCATCCAACTCTCTCATAGTTGATGCAAAAGCACAAGGAAACTCATCCAAGCTGAGAGACAAAACAAGATAAAAGAAAGAAACTTTGTAAAGAACCGAGGGCGAAAACCTGGAAACAACAACATATGATACTGATCCAATTACCCGGATTTAAGGAAGAAGAAGCTTGTTGTCCTCACGACCAGTGGCCACAACTTCGTCCCTGTAATAATCTCTCTGTCTTGTGAGGGACTGCAGCTTGTGAAGCCACTTCTCTCCGACGGGTTTAAGAAATTAAACGAAACATCGGCCGACAGAGATTGCAGATGAGATGATCTGTTCTGCAGTACAGAAAACTAACCAGTTGACAACTACCAGCAAGGAAAATGGCTTTCGGAAGATCGGTATTTAGAGGTTTACGAGTGTATAAACAAAAGCATTACCTTCTCGAACAACAGAAGGAGATTGTTCCAGGCACCGGGAAAAGGTTCTTTCACAGCTAAGCTTCTAATGCAATGGTACAGAGCCAGGAACTCGTCACCAACGTATGTCGCCAATACAGCCAGCTGCACGGTAAAACCGAAAGTTTGCATATTTATACAGACCGATTTCATATCACATGATCGAATCAAGCATTACAGGATGATCGAAGGTTTTTGCCTGGTTATGGGGATTTCCACTGTCTGGCCAAGTTACTGCAGCCTCCAGGTAGTGTGCTGCTGCGGCCGACCAGTTAGGACGGTCGCCCGTTTTCAGATATTGCTCTCTATACCTTGCAAGATCTCCGAGACAAATGCAGAAACGATGGCACAGGAATCTGCATTTCAGTACTTTTGGTTCGTGAAACGGCGGAAAGCTTTCCTCTCCCTCAGAGACTCCAAAGTGTCTTCTCGCTTTCGAGATCAGGTTCTTGTAAAATTCGGTTGCTCGTGACAGAAACGACTTGAATGCTTCTACATGGCTGTCTGAAATCCTTCTACCCGATGAATCGACAGAGCTTGGTTTAACTCCTTTCCGAAACTCGTCAATGTGTTTGTAATGGAGCTTCCACAGAGAGAATTCGACATCTTGCAGCTCCTCCTGCGTTAGATCACTTGTGAAGATTCTCTCGTAAGTAGAACCCGCCTTCTCGTATGAATCCCGGACATCGTGATGCAGTATGCCCTTTGAATGGATCGATGTCCACAACTGTTTCTCTATGCTATTCACCTGAAAGAACATCTTTTGTTACTCATCCAAGAGTTGAGGGAGGAACAGAACAGCAAGTTCTTTGAGCAGGAAACAGACCAAGTTCATGTTTCTCCTATCTCTTTACCTCGACCAGGAAACTATGCTTTTCCTTCATGATCGCGTCTGTTGATTTTTCCTGGAAAAATCTCCGAGGATGTCCTGAATTCAGCAACTGAGCGTTAGAGAGAACACAGGATAAGTGTCAAACTGCTGAAGATTCATGATTTCTTTCAGTAATCAGCGCAAGAAGGGAACGAACACCGTAGAGATTACAGACAAGAACTCAATCATCGGCTAAGAGAGAGCTGTTCAAACTTCAAACTGCTTGGCCGACAAGAGATTCTCATCGAGCTGGATTATGCAAAACCCAAGTCGCAATCTTTAGCACGAACAAAGGAAACCCAGGAAGTGAAACTCGCAAAAGTCGCAACAAAATGCAGAAAAACTTCTGGAAAAAAGGGGGGGAATTTAGGTTCAAGAACACCAGAGTTCAAGATCAATTTCAGAAAGGAAGGAAAACCCAGATGAGATCAAGCAGCAGAAATCACTGTCGCAGAAGCAGAAGCAGAAGCAGAGAGAAACAAGCAAGAAAAAGCAAAAGAGAGAAGGAGATCGAAGAAAGTCCCTTTTGTCTCAGTAAGGAATCGAAAAGACATACTCGACGGGGACTTCCCAGAAGAAACGTTGATGTACGGACGTTGGGATGCAAGAAATTAAAGGCGCAAGCGGCCAAGCAGAGCCTCACACATGGGGAGAGAGAGAGAGAGAGAGAGAGAGAGAGAGAGATTTTTGGGTCAGTTGTGAAATGGACAAAGTAGAAAGGTGGCCGATGATGACGATGAAGACCTCGTGAAGAAAGTGGAAGCTTATCTAATCCATAATTTCTTGGCTTCTTCTTGTGAGCGCCCAACAAATGTTTCCGCCTTCTTAATCTCCCATCATAAATTCCTTGTTAACACCAATAATCATACAATTCTTCTTTAAAAAAAAATAATCATTATAAATCTAATCTTTGCAATAGAGGAGGAATAAATTAAAGTTACCCACTTTCTACATTTCCCTTGACGTCCAAGCTAAATCGCCCTTTCTTTAATTTATTTTTTTCGTGTATATCTAATTTATTTTTCCTATATATTAGGAGCGAGTGTTTTAACCCGTAATCCGGGTGTTTGGAGGTATCCGACTTAACAAATATCCGAATAAAGGATATCCGAATATTAACGATGATGAGATCGAATATGAATAAGACTAAGATTTCGACCCCCGAGTCCGAGTGGGATTCAATTATTTTACAAGGGGTACTCGGGGTACCCGGTATATTTATTAAAAATATAAAATATACTTTATATTTATAATATTTTTGTCTAAATTATTCTTATTATTTATTAAAATAATTTTATTTTAATTCAATTTTTTTATGTTCTAAACTTTTCTATACAAAAATTTCACCATTCCAAATCCCATTCTATGCAACCGAATCAACCATTCATCTCTCTCAAAATTTTACTCATCTCTCTTCATCGTGAACTTTTCTCTTTATACTTTGACCTCTCTCATTTGTATTTTCTATATCTATCATTTTATAGTTCAAAATTTTACAAGTCATATGGGTCTGGGTACCCGCAAGTACAAGACCGAGAATCTCATTAAACCCGAACTATAAATACCCGGATTTTATAAAGCCAAGACTGAGATAATATTTTTGTAAAACCTGTGGCAATGAAGATGAGACAGGTTTTTTTAAAAATTGGGGATACCCGATCCGTATCCACCCCTACTATATATATATATATATTCAGCATAAATTATGACTTCTAAATACTCTTTACTTTATGTAAATTATGATTTATAAAATATTCTTACTGTATAGTTGATCATGTTTGATCCTCTAAATGATGAACATGCAAAGAGTGAGTGTGTATCTACCATTTGTATTTATTTATTTATTTTGGGGTTTTTGGAAGGAATGAGAAAATTCAATCATCCATTTTAGTTTCTCTTTCCCATAAGTTTCCACACAAAATGGTTATGATAATGTTTTTTGTTAGGATATGTTTCTTAATTATAGATATCATTCTCTAATTGGATGTGTTTTCTTTTACTTTATGTGACAATGAAAATAGCGTTTTAATCTATTAAATGGATTAAGATTTGACTTGTGAACTGTTTAATATATATATATATGTACATATATATATATATATACAAAGTCACTAATTTTGTTAGTTATTTAAACTTTTGTTGAAATATACGATTTAATAGGCCAAGGTGAAAGTACTTAGGTATTACGATGATATATATAAACTAGGGCTGGGCGTTTCGGTTCGGTTCTTCGGAACCGGACCGGACCGAACCGTTAAAACGATATTTTTTTCGATCTGAAACCGCTGTTATTTCCCGAACGGTACCATTTTTAAAGAACCGAATTTTTCCGGAACCGAACCGAACTGAACGAACTTTAAAAATCCCGAAAAACCAAATATTTTTCAAGGAAATCTATCATTTTTTTAATAAAATCCGGAACCGAACAGAATACAATAAAAAAAAAACCTGATTGGTACCTATTTTTGTAAAACCGAAAGAACCGAACCGATTCATTCCGTCCCGAACCCGAACCGTTCCCCGAAACGTCCACCCCTAATATAAACTGTCTAATAATATATAATTATATAATGACTATAATTTTAAACTATAATTAATCAGTTCAAAATAGAATATTTAGAGAACTATAATATAAATAAAAACTGTTTAAAAAATAAATAGTGTTTTAGTAAATAAATGAACAAAATACAACCAAATATAATCCAAATTCAATTTCAAACATGCAAATTTTTTTTTCAAAATAAAAATGCAGAAAAAATATCTTAATACTTACGTGCAAATCAAGGGCATGTATGTATGTATATGTATTAACAATTTTTCTTTCGTTAACATCTAACATTTATTAGGGTTATTTTTGTTTTTATCTTCCACGTCATATAAGATTAAAAATGGCAAAGAGTCTTAAATTATGTACAAGATTTATATAAAATTGCAAGTCCACAAATCAAATGTTTTGCTACAAATTTTAACATGGCATCACGTTAAAAATGACTTGACCTTGATTATATATATATATGGACCAACCATAAAAGAAAACAAAGTTAAATTAAGCACGTCATTGAATGGAAATTACACGACTCCGATTTTACAATAATAAAAAAAATTATTTGAAGGAAAATATCTTTGGTCATCGATGTGGATTGATAGCTACTTTTAGGTTGTTTGTCACGACTTTTCTTGAATTGTAATGTCAAGAATTTAATTCAAATGCACCAAAAAAAAATGTCCCTACGTCCAAAAAAAATGATAATTTACACAAAAAAAAAATCGTTTCTGATAGTAAAAAAAATATTACATTGTTTATTTCATTTTTATATTTATACCGTACTTAAAAATAAATTCACTATTCTATTATTTTTATAAATTCTCTCTCACATATGAATAATGTGCAACCAAATATCATGTCATCCATATTTTTATAGTTTACGGTAAAACCGTGCATGCATGATAATTGATAATTGAGTATTTGAATATAAGAATGACCCAATTATTAATATCATTAATATAATCAATTATTATAATTAGTCATTCTCATTCCATTATGTTAACACTGTCCTACATTTTGTCAACAAATTCATATAATAATGGCCACAAAACGTACCTAATGTGACCAATTCATTCAAAATTTTATTTAATCAACAAAATTCTAATATTCTTTATTCCGATTTATTTTTTTTTCATGAGATTAATGCTATGTCTATAATATATATACTACCTATATAATTGTTAAAAGTTTATACTTATAAATCGGAAATTAGAAAATGACAAGAAAATCTGAACAATTGGCTTGTCTCCGCCTCTTAATTTGTTGACAGAATTAGTAATAAGAGCGATGACAAATAAAAATAATAATTAGAGTATGACGATATTCACGAGAAAATAATAAATTTCAGACGACTTCCAATATCCATATATATATATATATATAATAATTTGGTCTTAATGACTAGACATTGTAACCATCCATATTTCGGACACGAATGAAGTAGTTAGTTGTTCGAATCGTGATATGTCTCGAATATTTATTTCTTTTATTATAAATTATTTGACTCATTTCTATAATCGCAAACAAGTATTTGTTTGTTATGATTGCAATTTAAATCTCTTCGAGCCACACGTGGAAGGGGCACCAACTATATAGTAAATAGAGTCGGACAAAATTATATATGGTCACGGTCCCTTTTAAATTAATGAATTATGTTCTTACTTATTCCATTAAATTTAATCAATTGCATAAAGAATATAAATTCAGTAAGGAAAATTTGTTCTGCATATAAATGAAATTTAAATTTTGGTATATAAAATGGTTAGTTTCTGTGCATATTTATTAAAATCGATATAAAAACATAAAATACACAGAATTCATAAGAAGATATATCTTTCAAAATTTATATGAACACAATTCAATAATCAAAATCTAAATTGTTGTATTATATTGCTAGGTTAGTTCATCTCGATGATTCTTATAAATAATTTTTTTTTTGAAATTCAGCAAAAACATCTATCAACCGGTTTTGTTTTATTTAAAATCGATCGGTCGATTCCGACTTCGACCATGGAAGTTTTTTTTTTTTCAATGCGATATAATAACAAAAATCTTACAAATGATTCAAGACTCATTTAACATTTAATTTGATCGAGAAATTAATATTTTTTTTCCCACGAAAAGTGGGTTGCCGATCAAAAAGAGAAGTTCCAAGAAAATAGGAAGAACGATCGAAAGAGAAGACAGAGAGTGAAAATCGGACAATAACTCTTGCCCTAAAAAAAGGAAATAAATTGCATTGCAATTTTAAAAAAAAAAAGACAAAATCAACGACCGCACAAATCGGACCAAACCCAACAAACGAGTTCCACTCTGTCTTCCCTTTTTTATCCCCAAAATCAACCCTAATTTATTCTTCTGCAATATCACACTTCTATTTCACCCTCTCCTTCACCAAAGGAAAGGGACATAGAAGAAACCCTAATTTTTTTTTATAAAAAAAAAACAAGAAGCAAACACTATTACACACGTTTTGATCTCCTAAACACTTCAGTTTATATATCCCGAAATGGGTCTTAAACTCTTGTTCGTCTTTGCCCTTTTGACCTTAGCCATGGTGGCTGAGTCAGCTAACGCGTCATGGCCGTTGACCAAATCTTGCGTCAATGGCGAGGGATGCATTGGAGATGAAGACGGGGTAGAGACTCTGATGGATTCAGAGACTAACCGCCGCCAGTTAGCACAGGGGAGACGTTACATAAGCTACGGCGCTTTGAGAAAGAACAACGTTCCATGCAGCAGACGCGGTCGGTCTTATTACGACTGCAGGAGGAGGAAGAGAGTGAATCCGTACAGACGTGGTTGCAGTGTCATTACACATTGCGCTCGGTTCACCTCTTGATAAATCGAACCGATCAAGAAATCGTGTTCGAAAAAATTCGAGGGGAGGGAAGAGATCGTGATTTCGTGATTTCGTAATTTCCATATCGAAATGGACATAACTTGATATTGCATGCATAATGTTTTTAAGTACGTACGTACCATGTTTTTTTTTTTTTTTTGTTATGATCATGCATTTGCACCTTCTGGTTATCTGTTTTTTTTAATGTGTCGTTTTTTTTTCGGGGTTTTTTTTTGGGATATTCTGGTTTTGTTTTCGTCGTATAATTAAGTGATTATCTATATGTTAATTATATAATTAAACATGTGTTTGTGAAAATCGAGAGCAAATGGATCATCTTCTTGTTTCTTTCTTTCATGTTCCATGTGTGTATCTTTTATTGATCACGTTTATTATACCATTGTATAGTATAATGTACGGACACAATTTATTTATGTAACTTCCATGTTCGTATAAAAAGCTTAATTTAATTGGGATTCTCGTAATTCTGCGTTATATATATACATATATATGTATGTGTGTGTGTGTGTGTGTACTTTCGAAAATACAAGAAGTAGAATACTAAAACCGATATATTTCGCGAGTTACCGAATCTAACAGTGCTTCCCATGTAATAAAACCTGGATTTTTAGGGCTTATTATGTCTTGATTCCATTATTTTTTAAGTTTATTTTATATTCATTCGGTTTTTATATCATTTGAGATCTGATTTTTAAGGTTATTTTTTAATGTTATTTTTGGGTTTATTATGTCTTGATTCCATGTGTGTCTTTTATTGATTAAGGTTATTTCAATAACGGGTTATCGTATTGGAATTTAGTTTTTATCAATAAATATGCTTTTTGAAAAAGTATTTCTTTCAATTTTTATGGGTTTTTTTTTTACATTTGATCTTAATCTAAATTCAGTTTATATTTGAAAATTTTGTTTAAAACAATTTTATTGAATCGGTTTTTAAATCGAATACGATTCTGTATTATTCAATTATGTTGGTATCGTTTTGCATAGCCAAACCGAGATGTCGCGCGGTGATATATTAATTTAGATATTGCGGGTTTTTTTTGTCGTTGTAACTAGTTGAGAAGGGTGATATCTTTGTCCCGCATCTCATGTTGGAGCGGACATTGAGGAGAAGTGATACAATTTAATTATAACAAGGTTGTTTTGTGGTTGCGATTTAGAGTGGATGTAATTGGGACGACGCCTACTAAATCAATCTAAAAAAACTAAAATACATAATTACATAAAAATCTAACACAAAATAAATTTCTAATGATGGTCGGTCAACAAAAAATTTTAGAAAAAACCTTATAAAGAAAAAAGATTGTCCAAAAAATATAACTAACGTGACCAAAGGTATATATATATATATATATATATATATATATATATATATATCAAATAATTAATTCTTATATTTAATTTGCATCACTTTGGATTAGTGGGTGTAAAACGGATTGGCCCGATCCGGTCCAACCCAACCTGACTCGTTCCAGTTTGGAAAAATTTTAGTCCAGTCCAATCCAACCTGTTTTTTAGCAGATAAAAAATATATCAGTCTATTCCATATCGTCTTACCCTGCGAGCCAAATGAGTCGACTATCGAGCTAAATATATAAATTTTAACAATAAAATTTTAATACTAACAAATATTTAAAACTAATTTAATATTTAAAAATATTTAAAATATAATAAAAAATAAAATTTTAAACAAAAACAAACTAAATATGTAATAAAAATATAATTTGTATATAAAAATATTTTAAAATATATTAAAATATTTAAAAAAAATTTAAAAAAAATATTTTTTTCTGACCCGTGAACCAGCCCAGTTCATGACGAGATGGTTCGGCTCTGTTTTTTCTGGACTCAAATATTTTAGTCTGACTTAAAAAAATATGATTAAACCATTTTACACCATACTTTTGGACGTATATTTATCCAAAATAGATGATTAAACCATTTAATCCAATAAAGCGTGCACGCAGCACACCTCTTTGTAGGAACCGGACCGTTTTTTATTTATAACCCAAACCGAACGAACCGGTTAAAGTAGATACAGGCCCAAATAATTTTTTGATTTTGAGAAACCCAGGCCCATGACCGGACTGCTTGGATTTCATCCGATTACCCGAAAAAAAAATCTATGAAAATGTGTTAAAAAAATAAACCGATTTTTAATTTGATAAATAAATATAAAATATACAAAAAATATCTCAACTATACATGTCGAAAACAATTCCGTACATTCTCTTTAATTACACCGTGAATAATTTTATTTAAATTATTTCATATACAAATTTTAACGAACCGGAATTAATCCGGTTCGAGACCAGATTCCTGAACCGAATTATCCACCCCTACTTTAATGTATTTATTTATCAAATTAAAAATTGATATGTTTTTTTGATATATTTTGTAGAGTCCAAATAGGAGGTATATAATTATTAATACCCTAGTTGGTGTTTTGGTAGTTAGTTTCCCTTTTCATGACCTTAAGATCCACTTTCTTCGCATGAAATATTTCCTATTTTTCCGTATTTCACAGAGAATCAAATTTAATTTTGTCGTCCAATTGCATTTGAAAATTCCACATTACAAGACAAAAAATAAAAATTTGAACGGGACCACACACCAAAATCATAAAATATCCACTCCCGCTCCCAAGGTTAAGGACATCCTATAACCATATTCATTACTTGACTGATGGTAATGGGTGCAGGTTAACAGACTCAATCAGCATCAAGACCCATGCTGTACAATTCTTTTCAGATCTGATTGGTTCAGTGGACCCAAGGATTTCTCCTCCTCCTACATCCTGGATTGCAAATCTCTTTCCTGAGGTCTGTCCAAATCAACTGAAGCACGATTTGGTAAAAGAGGTTACTGTAGAAGAAATAAAACAAGCATTTGACAGCATGCCCCGCAACAAAGCCCCAGGCCCTGACGGCTTTCCAAAGGAGTTCTTTCTTTCTTCTTGGGAAACTGTAGGTAACAATCTAATCGAAGCTGTCCAAGAATTCTTCCACTCGGGGAAGCTATTAAAGGAAGCTAACGCAACAATCATAGTGCTAGTCCCCAAGAAGCCGGAAGTGACAGAGCTTTGTGATTATCGACCAATTAGTTGCTGTAACTTTTTCTACAAAATCATCTCCAAGGTGCTTGCAAATCGTCTGAAATTGATTCTTCCTTGGGTAATTTCGGACAACCAAGCTGCATTTCAGAGAGGTCGGAATATGTTGGACCACATCATGCTAGCTTCGGAACTAGTAAGAGACTATAACAAACCTTCTACCAAGCCGAGCGCAATGCTGAAAATAGATATCAGGAAGGCGTTCGACACAGTGAGTTGGGGTTTTGTCTTGGCTGTTCTTGAGGGATTAAAAATTCCTAAGTCTTTCATTGATTGGATTTGGGAATGTATCTCCACTGCTCGCTACTCAGTAGCCATAAACGGGGAACTAGCGGGGTTTTTTCCAGGAAAGCGCGGTCTTCGTCAAGGCGACCCGTTGTCTCCCTACCTATTCATTATATGTATGGAGGCTCTCTCTAGATTGTTGGATAATGCAATGCTCAAAGGAAGGATCAAGGCTCATCCAAGGTGCGATTCTCCACTTATCTCTCATCTTGCTTTTGCTGATGATTTAATGGTCTTTGTTGAAGGCAAATCTGAAGCGATTAATGTGGTCAAAGAGCTGTTAGCCGAATTCAGTGCTTACTCGGGGTTGATTTTGAACGCGGCCAAGTCGGAGTTATTTCTCGGTGGAGTCTCGCAGTCTGTGGCACATGATATTTGTTCTACTGTAGGTTTTCGCCAAGGCACCTTACCGGTCCGCTATTTAGGCGTTCCTATAGGACCTTGGAGGTTAATGAGAGACGACTACAAGCCGCTGGTGGAAAGAATCAGAAAGAGGCTCACAGCTTGGACATCGAAATACCTATCTTACGCAGCAAAAGTGGTACTCATCTCGACGGTAATCTACGGCATGGTTAATGCATGGAGTAGGGCCTTTCTGCTACCAAAATTTCTACTCCGCGAGATAGATCGACTATGCTCTACCTTTCTATGGAAGAGCTCCATTAACTGTCGGAACTCGGCCAAAGTTGCATGGCCCTTGGTTTGCTTGCCGAAAGAAGAAGGAGGGATGGGAATTCGTCGCCTAGAGGATTTCAACACTGTTTTCCGACTCAAAAGCATATGGTTAATTTTCAAGGAATCAGGCTCGTTATGGGTAGCGTGGTTGAAACGACACATCTTCAAGCGCAAAGGGCTATGGGGGACAAAGCCTTCACCTAAGCACTCTTGGGGGATCCGCAAACTCTTGATGTTTAAACACAAGGCTGCTGATTTTCTACATTGCAGGTTAGGCGATGGAAACACAGCCATCTTCTGGCATGACAATTGGACGGGTCTGGGGCCACTCATCAAGTATGTGGGAGTGGAGGGCCCTAAGCTGCTGCGTATTCCTCTTTATGCAAAGGTCAAAGCGGCGTCAAAAGGCTTAGAGTGGAATCTTCCCGGGGCAAGATCAGATCGGATCCAAGTGGCCCTTACTCGGATTTCGGCCATCCCAGTTCCGTCGAGCGAATCTGGCAAAGATTGTTTTGAATGGAAAGCAACGGCAACGGAATACAGGGATACCTTTTCCTCCTCCGCCACCTGGAAGTTGATCCGCCAACAAGCTCCGGTGGTACCGTGGCACTCTATGATAGGGTTTTCCTTATCCACTCCGAGACTCAGCTTCATACAATGGCTAGTGCTCCTTCATCGTCTTCCAACAAGAGATCGCCTCGCTCGATGGGGACTCCTCGACAATCCCATGTGTGTTCTCTGTCAACTAGCCCCTGAATCTCATTCTCATCTTTTTTTTTATTGTTGCTATAGCCGAGATGTGTGGATTCCCTTTGCCTCTGCGTGCTTCCAGTCTCCGCCGTTGGATGTTGATCAATGCTCATCTTGGTTAGCCGCTCAACCCCAAGCTCGCTCAAGCACTAGAAAATCCTTTGCCAAGCTAATTCTTCAAGTAGCCATCTACCTCATATGGTCTGAACGGAATGCTCGAATCTTCAAAGGCGAATCGTCCCCTGCTGAAAAGACTCGGTTAACTCTTGACAGGTTTGCTCGAGACATTATTCTCTCGCGGAAATCCTCTACGTCGGCACACCCTTGGAGCTTGATGGATGATTGGTTACTGGTTACATCTACGATCCAAATTCTCTGAAACGGTGATTCACTTTTGTAGTCTTTGATTTTGCGATATGGAATCCTTATCTTTTGGGTTAGTTCCGGTGATCAACCGGTTTTGTATACAAACTTGATCTATTAATACATTTACCTTTACCAAAAAAAAAAAATCATAAAATATCATTTTTTTTTACTATAAAATTAATTTACTTGTATGTTTTTATTTCATTTTATTTTCCGCCATGCAAATTGAACATTAATACATGCGTTGACTTTGGACCGAAC